TTTTTTTTCTTTTCTTTTGTTTAAAAAATTCCTTTTTTATTCCTTTTTCCCCTTGCGTAGTTACTACAAGAGGGGGTGACACAATTTGGGTTTATGGTCATGACTATAGAGATGATCTGCAGGTTTTGATCCTGCTGGAAATTTGGAATCTTAATTCCATCCACTAGGTGAACAAAATTATCACCCCCATAAATCACATCTAGAGGCTTCGGCTAAAGACGGGTGAGTTGGATCGAGGAAATTTATACTTTACATAGGTTTTCAACTTGTAATGGTTTTTTATGATTAAATAAATAAACGACACCAACCTGATTGCGGGATTAAAAAAAAAAAATTATATTAATGGTTAGAAAATTTAGTAGAGTAATATATAATGACCAGAAATTCTAGTTACTCATATAAGCAGAGCTGGTAATAGCAATACAAGTTCATCGATTACTTTTTAACAATGTAGATTCATATATTAGATCAAATACAAACATCTATAAAAATATTTAATGCACTCTATCCATTGGACACTTTCACTACACTTGAAAAATAGATATGTCAAATTCTTTTTATAACTTGAAGAGCAATCTGTATAAAGTGATTATAGTGCCTTAATGCATAGAGGTATCCAATCTCTTCTTATATTTTCACTACCTTCAATTTGAATATAACACAAATTATTCTAATCCTTTGCTAGACATTATTCAAGATTTAGTATAGAGTTTTAATATTTTTTTTCTGTTACTTGAATAGTTAATAAGTAGGCAAGCTAGTATTAAACTTGGTAACCAATGGTTATAAGAGATATTATTTTCTTTATGTAATAATTTTCTAATTTTATAACTTAATAAAGTGACAAGATTTTTTTACTAAAAAAAAAAACAATTTTTTTAAAAATTGTAAATTTTATTTTTATATTTATTAAACAAATTATTATTATTATTATTTTAATCTTATTATATATTTTTAAAAATTTTAATATATTACATTGATTATTTTAATTTAATGTTTCTTTATTATTATTAATTTATTATCTTTATTTTTCTTTTAAGATAAAAACAATATATAACATTATACTGTATAATCAAAAACTAATAATATTTTCAAACCAGAATAAATTTTAATTAAAGATTTTATTCTATTGCATTAGTTGTTTTAAGATTTTTAAATTCTTGAACTGAAGATTAACTTGCAATAAAAAGTATAAAATATTTCTTATTGACAAAAATTAATAAAAATAAAAAATTTATAACCTTACAAACGTGATTAGAAAAAACCTGTATATTTTTAATTAGTTTATTTTATTTAATAAAAAATATAATTTATATTAAAAAATTTTTTTTATCAAATTATAACTTTTTACTTTTTTAAAAAAAAACTATAAATCTTAAAAAATTTTAACATATATATATATACTTTATATTATAAATTTAGAATAATCAATAAATTCGAAAAATTTTTAGTATGTATTAAAGTTTGAGATATTATCATATACTGTATAATAATATAAAAGCTAGTTCAATTCAAATCCGTACAAGGTAATTAATTGTACAAAAGTACAGTATGTACTCCTTTTAATAATGTAACATAAAGTACATACGTAATGGTAAGAGATCTTTCACAGATTTCTTTCTACTTTTCCATTACACACACAAGTACATACTTGCCTTTATTATTTATTTCTTCCTCATTTGAAATATTAACGATTACCAGGTATTCAATTTTACCAAAAAGGAAGAAGCTGTCTGTATACCTTAAAATTTTCTATTTGAATGGTTCCAGAATTCTTACACGTCTTTCTGTCGATCATAGCCTGTTTACGATAATTTGTAATCCCATAAGTTTATAAATAAAAGTAATTAATTATTCGAGTTTCATTAGATATTTGGAAATTTTATTCTGGAGGAGCAGGTGCGGCGTTACCGGTAACCGTTTTTTGGACTTTTGAAATTCATATATGATCCGCATTGTTATAATGATATTTTATTTATAGAAATGTATTAAAATATCTTGAAACTCTTTATTTTTACAAGTATTGAAGGAAGGTCCAGATAACTTTCTGTCCGGAAAAGATCAGATAGTTTTAAGAAAAATGGGTAGTTCTAAACACTATTGTCCCGAATGCGATCAAAGGCTGACCGATAATTCTTGGTGGTGTAAATCATGCCAACAACAGCACTTTAAAGAAAATTTTGATAACTGGACAAGTGAAGATAGAGATATCGATGATTTCATAAGGAAAACTCAAATGGAAGCAGAAGAGTGTGATCAATATCTGGAGTGGATACCTTTTTCCTCTTTTATTAATGTCAACAAATCTGAAATTTCCGAGGCTGGCACTTTATTTACTGCTAATTGGGTAAAAGGACCTGCCGATACTTGGGACAGTGCAGAAGGTCAATTTATCACAAAAAGAGGTTTGCTTAAAGTTGGATTGACTTCTTTTGGTAATTCGGCTTCTCTTTTTTTGAAAGAGGTAATTTTTTATTCACATTTTTCATTCAATCGAAAATGTTAGACATGTTAATTCAAGCTATTTGTATCAATAGCTTAAAATTCATTTTTATTCTCGAAATCGCAATGGTCTGATTATACGTCTTTTTGGAGTGACGCGTGAATCTGTAACTAACAATCTTATGATGGTCGCCGAAACCGTGGAATGGGATTTACGTCATTATGTTTCTCATCATTTTATTCGTCTCACCTGGGAAAATAAAATAGCAATCTTGCACACGATAGTATGTGCTCTCGAGAATTTGAAAAGTGGTCAAGAAGTGCAACAAGAATTTGAAAACAACAATACTATTAAATCACACATAGAAATTCCACTTAATGAATTAGGTTTGGGTGAAGGAAAAGAATTGATTCCCGTAATTGGTTATTATAGATATGATCTTTTACCATATATTGCGCCAGAAATTCTTGACGGCGAAAAATATTCCACCAAAGTTGATATATACAGCTTTGGAATGCTCATGTGGGAATTCTCGTCTAATAAGCCACCCTTTTATGATAGACCTCATGATGCAAGACTTATTTCTGACATAATCGGTGGATGGAGACCAAGTCAACGTGAAGATTTACCCGAATGTTATGTTGAATTGATGATATTATGTTGGCACCATGATCCAGATAGACGTCCTGTTGTATCAGAACTAAGAAATAAATTGAGTGAATGGCACCTCTACGGAAAACAAAAGGAACAGTTTGACATTGCTGAACAAAAAAGAATCAAACGAGTACTGACCAAAGGATTAAATCCTGATCCCAGTAAAATGATTGCTCCTCCAAGAATTCATCCCCAGGCAATTTACACAAGTAGATTATTAAAATTCCCGGCACTTCCTTTGACAAAAAATAATCAGAGAACTCCGAGAAGGTCTCTATCGTATGATGAACATGTCAATGGCCGCATGCAAATTAGTTCACAAGATCTAGCTTCGATTCTTGTACGAGATGAGAGTGAGTAACTTTTTTTTTTGAGGAAAAATACTTTATCGATGACTATTTTAAAAATCAATCTGCTCATGTACAACAAAGGTTTTTTCTCTACTGGGAGTCTTATGCAACGTCGTCAAGTCTATCCGGAGCCTGGACTTGAACAAACAGATGAAGATATCTTGAAACAATATGACCTTTCTATTCCTAACGATTGTATGCATTCTCGATTTAAATTTATTTTTAACTTCTCTTATGATCTAACTATGATTCATGTAAATTTTTTATAGTTGATCCCTTAAATAGCAACAGTGATGATTCTAATAAAAATAGTGAAATTAATAACGAAGAGGTATCAATTTATGACTTAGAAAACTGCGCAAGTAACCGCGTTTCAAATTTGGATGGGGTTACTTCATATAATGTTCCGGAAAATGACAGTGGGACAAACTGCACGAGTTCTTTGCAAGATAAAACGGAATAATATTCTTTACCATAAATTTTTTTAAATTTTTGTTCATATTTATTTTTTATAGAAATTATTATGAAAATAAAAAGTCATAAAATATGTAAAAATATTGTAAAATATTTACTTTCTATTGTATATTTTTATGGTTTATTTAATGTTCTATTGATTGAAAAGTTTAAATTCTATTTGACAATATATAATATTTATGCTAATGAATTTGGTTGTTAATTAATATTTATTTCAGAAACAGAATAGAATTGTTTTACTAAATATACTTACATGATGCACGATCAAACATAGTTTCAAAAATTATTTCATTAATTTTACAGTTGCCTCAAAAAGTAAATCTGAATTATAAATTTATTTTATTATTTTATTTTATTTTTATGTATTGCTAAAATTTTTTTGCCATAGTCAATATTTAATTGATACTTTTTTTATATAAATTACTTATTAATTCTTTGTGATATTGAAATAAAATTTTTTGAAGTAGATATTGAATTTTTTTTTTACTTTTTTATTAAGGCAATTTACTAGTTGAAATTAATTTATTTAGTATAATGCCACTTATCAACCATTTAATAAAAAAAATCCAAGGATTTTTCAAATTTAACAAATTACAAAACATAAAATTTGATCTTAAATTGGATATAAATTTTAATATATAATTTGGCTCATAAAATATATCTACATTTATTTTATTATTTTAAATTTTTTAATTTATTTTGCCAAAATATTAATATTTTATTATAATAATTATTAGTTTTTTTTGATTTTGCTAAATTTTATTATATATATTTTTACTGTTAAATTTTTGTTAATATTGTCATTTATCATTTCTATTTTAGGAGAAAGATATAGATAGAGAACTATAGTAATAAAACACTTTGTATAAATAAACCAATATGATATACTAAAGTTTGTAAGGGTATACTAAAATTAGTATAGTTCTGAAGTATATATATAATAGAAATTGATAGATTCTTGATGCAATTTGATATAATTATTTGACGCAATTAATTGAGTTACTATTAAAACATATAAAATAATTGAGTTAAATGCAATTATTTTTAAGAATTTTGACAATTGAGTCAATAGCAAAATAATTTACACCATATATATAATTTTGAAATATATGAGGTCAAGTAAAAAAAGCAATAATGATTTGTTTTGTAAAGGTCAAATTATTTTATTAATAAAGAAAAGTTCAACTTTGCAATTCCAGGAAGAATTGGAAGTATTTATATATATATAATTAAGTACAATCATCACATAAAGTAACATCTGATTTTTTGTGTAACTTTTTTAAATTAGCATATATAAAAAATTAACATCTTGTTTACTTTATAATTTAATATTAATAAACTTAAACATAACACATACCTGTATACTATTGTTTGACATTAAAAAAGGCAAAATTCTTGTCTATATAGAGATTTTAAATGCTCTAGAGATTGCATAAAAATGGAACAAGATCCTACTACAATATGCCATTTTATTTCTAAATACTTAAAAATTAAAAAAATAGATACTTACTATGATCTGATAGACCTCCGGTTCTTACTTTTCATGAAAAAAATTTACTTATGGACAAAGCTATAAAGAATAGGCATGCACCACTATATGAAATTATCAGTGATCTAAACCTTAATTGTAGTGTATCAACCGTGACAAATATATTACATAATTCTGGGATATATTTATATATTGCAGCAAAAAAACTATTTATATCAGAAAAGCATACTCATGCCTGTGTTGCATAGTATAAGGAAAATAAAAAAAAACAATTTTAATTGGTCAAATATTATTTTTTTTGATGAAGCAAGTGTTGAGATTGAAAAGCAATCAAGACAAATATGGGTTTAGCAACATATTGATGAAAGATTTGATACTGACTGCTTGATATCTACTTTTAAAAGTGGTCGACAATCTGTGATAATCTGGAGATATTTCATAAAAGAAGCAAAAAATCCTTTAATATTCTGTAATGAATATAAAGAAAATAATTTTAAAATAAATGCAAAAACTTATATTAAGATTCTTAAAATCAATCTATTGTCATTTGCATATACAGTTCATAAGTTAGCAGGATATCTTGTAATTTTTCAATAGGATAATGCATCAATTTATACTGCAAAGATCATTTAAGAATGGTCTAAAAAAATAAAATTAATATTCTTGATTGGCTAGCAAGTTCACCGGATTTAAATCCAATTGAAAATATTTGAAAACTATTGAAAGATAGTGTTCAAAATATATAACTTTTTCAAGAAATACAATTGAACTTAAAATTGTTCTTAAGAAAGAATGGAAAAAATTTAATGCTTTTACTTTATATTAGATTATAAGTTCAATGCTGTAAAGGATTAATATGATATTGCAGGCAAATGGTGGGCCTATAAATACTAACTAAAAAAAAATTATATAAATAATATAGAAATAAAATTAAATGTGATTTGATATTTTTTTTTTCATGATTTGAAAATCGGACATTATTTTTGTAATAACTATACATATAGATATGAATAATAATAATAATAGTTATAAAATAAATATTATCTTCATTAAAACAATTAATATACTTAATACCAATGGGTCAATAGTACAGTGGATAGTGCTCCTTGGTTTCCAAATGCATGTCCCTAGTTCAATACCCACAGGAAGCAAAACGCATAATATTCCTTCATTTGTAGGTTTACCGGTTTTCCTACAAATATCATACTCCAAACATCTGGATCCTGACCAAATTTAGTTAGGCTGCATGAAGATGGGACCTCTGGTCTTCCCAACGATTGCAGACTGAAAATAGGTCAAAGCACAAAAGGTTGCACAAGGAAAGACTTCTGATTTAACTCTAATAAAAGCCCACAAATCCCCTGGCACGGCAGACTCTGTAGTACAAAAACACTCTAGCCTGGGGCTATCCCAATCCGGTGCTTACTTAAAAGAAGACGATTTCTATAAGGAAAGTTGGAAATCACAGATGGTGACAAGAAGTACAGTATCTTCTCTAAGGAACCAGGTGAAAAGTATTAAACAGGTTATCTGGGTGTTCTAATCAATCCTAAAAGATACACGCTCTAAATGATAACCACCAGGATCTAGATTAAATTAGATAGTTTAAAAACTAGTTGTAGGATTTCTATCCCCTAAAGATCTTACCCGGTGTGCAGATCCACTCCCACTGGTAGATAAATCAGTATAACTGGATAAGGCTATAGATGGGAGTATGGGTTAACTTAAATGGACCTTGTAGTCATGTAATTGGATATAAATCATTCAATAAAAACCATGTGCTATATGCACTCTTTATCTGAAAAAAAAAAATAATAATAATTAGAATAGTAAAAATAATAAAAATAATAGAAAAAAAAAGATTTTTTTTTTTTTTTTTTAGGTAAACATGTATCGATACAAATTTTTATTAATATATAATATCTAGACAGATATCAAGTATCTTCTATATATAAAAACATATATGATTAAGTTTATATTATAATGTCTTTTATATATAGAATTAATACTGTCTATTGACTATTTCTAGTAATAGCTTATCTATCCATCTTTATAATTCAACTATATAAACTTACATCAAGTATATGGATCCACATATTAAGTAAAATTAATTTAAAAGATGAAAATTCTGCCACTAGTTTTAAACTATTTGAATTTGTTAATCCAATGAAACAGAAAACTGATATATCTTATAAGGATAATTAGAATATCCAAATATTTTAAATATTTTTTTGTTTAGTTTCTCAAAGAAAGTATTATATTCTTTGTTACCACTTACAATTTCAGATTTCTTTTTTAAGATCTTTTTCTTTTAAGCAAGTATCAGATTAGAATAGTTCCAAACTAGAGTGTTCTTTATGCTACAGAGTTTGTGTCAGGAAAAGTTGTGGACTTTTATTGGAATTAGATCAAAAATCTTTTTTTATATAATCTTTCTTGCTTCAACCTGTTTTCAGCCTATGATTGTTAGAAAGACCAGAGGTTCCATTTTCATGCAGCCTAACTAAATTTGATCAAGATTCAGATGTTTGGGTACAACATTTGTGAAAAAACTAATAAACTTATAAATGAATGATAATTAAAAAAAAAAAAATTTTTTTGTATTTAAAACATATATTATATATAAGAGTTTTAAAAATTATTAAATAAAATTAAGTTTTTATAATAAATAATTTAAAATAATAATTTTATATATAAAAATGACACTATATATATCTTGTAATAACTATACTAGGGTCCATTCAATTCTAGTTTGAAAATAAATTAACTTGAATATATAGTCTGATTAGATATAAAATAATAATAATAATAATAATAATTATTTGATCTACCCAGTCATAGTCTAGTGGACTAAGGCAGGATAGGGCTAACCCATGATCCACGTTTCAACTCCAGCTGGGGGACAATTCACATATCCCAAAAAGGACTTTGTGTCACTACCCCTGTAACTTGTGATAGAGAGTGATTCGAATTGTTCCGGTGATCAGGGAGCCTTATGGATAGACTATACCCTATAGGTCAAAAAGATAGATGATCTGATTGGTAAACTTTCTGATCAAGTATTGCCTGAGAAATACCTCCAAAAGGAGGAAGAAGTTTCATGGGATCTTTCCGGTAGCGGAAAGAAAGGTACAGATGGCTAAAACCATTAGTTGCACAATTATCAGTAAGAGTTTCACATGTCTGATGGTAGCGAGAATCTGGTCGGGAATGCAGGAGGTTGCTTGTATCATGGGATGTTCTATCCTAAGAGGTATACTTGCGACGATTGACTGCATGACCTCATAAAACGTAACTCTCCACATGTGTTGCTAGGTTAGATTAGGAAGGGTGAGGCTGGGTCCGATTCCCAGATGGATTTGGTGTACTGGTGTACCCTCATCCCGCCAATGATATCTCACTGACTAAATCCTAGTAAGTTTTGGCTAAACTGAATGGTTGAAAAACGGTAGTAGGTGGCTGCTGGTGAAGATTATCCTGGCAGACAAGAAACGTTTGCC